TCTGCCTTTGGCTCAGGTCATGATCCCAGGGTCCTGGGATGGAGTCCTGGAGTGTTGGGTTCCTTGCTTAGCAGGGAGCCTTCTTCTCTCTTTCCCTTTGCCTCCCGCTCTCCCTGCTTGTGCTCTCTCTCTCTATTAAATAAATAAATAAAATCTTTAAAAAAATAAAAGGCATCTACATTTGAAAGGAAGAAGTAAAACTACTTCTATTCACAGATGACATGACCCTATTTATAGAAAATCCTAAGGAATCCATGAGAGAGCTAGAACATATTTGCAAATCACATATCTCATGAAGGTTTAATATCCAGAATATACAAAGAACTCCTACAACTCAACAACAAAAAGACAAAACAACCCAATTTAAAAATGGGCAAAGGACTTGAATACATATTTCCCAAGAAAGATATATAAATGGATAATTAACACGTAACAAGATGCTCAACAACATTGTTCATTAGGAAAATGTAAACAAAAACCACAATGAGATACCACTTCACACTCAGTAGTGTGGTTATCATCAAAAATAATGTGTTGACGTTGAGAAACTGGAACCCTCTTATACCACTGGTGGGAATGTGACATGGGGCAGCTGCTGTGCAGTTTGGTGGTGGTTCTTCAAAACGATAAACATAGAATTACCATATGATCCAGCAATTCTACTTTTGGGTGTATATCCAAAAGAATTGAAAGAGGGACTGGAACTGAGTGGGTACACCGATGTTCACTGTAGCACTATTCACAACAGCCGAAAAGTGGAAACCACCGAAGTGTCCATCACAGGCTGAATGGATAAACAAAATGTAGTACATCTATGTAATGGAATATTACTTAGCCACAAAAAAATGAAGTTCTGATCCATGATACAACTTGGATGAACTTTATTTTTTTTTAAGATTTTATTTATTTATTTGAGAGAGAGAGAGAGAGTGCACACAAGCAGGGGGGGTGGCAGAGGGAAAGAGAGAAGCAGACTCCCCGCTGAGTAGGGAGCCCGATGAGGGGCTCAATCCCAAGACCCTGGGATCATGACCTGAGCTGAAGGCAGACGCTTAACCAACCGAGCCACCCAGGTGTCCCTAACTTGGATGAACTTTAAAAACATGCCGAGTGAAATAAATCAGAGACAGGCAAGCATTATATGGTTACACTGATATGAAATATCTAGAATATGCAAATGCATAGAGACAGAAGAAAGTAGATTAGAGGTTACCAGGGGCTGGAGGAGGAGGGACTTGAATGAGGAATTATTGCTTAATGGTTAAAGAGTTTCCATCTGGGGGTGATGGAAAAGTTTTGGAACTAAATAGAGGTCAGGTATTGTGCATATTCTATCTTGTAAATGTACTTAATGCCACCGAACAGTACACTTAGAAACAGTTAAAACAGCAAATTTTGCATTCTATATATTTTACCACAATACAAAAATGCAAATTAAAAAAAAAAACACCTTCATAACATTGGTATCACACTGTTTGTTCCATTTTACAACCTGCTTATTTTCACTCAATGTTCTGGTTTGGAGGTTTTTGCCTGGAAGTCCGGCTCATCCTTTTTCTGTGCTGTATAGTATTCCGCGGTATAAGTATATCCTAGTGTTTTTCCACGCTCCAACTCCTCATTCTTGTAAACCAGGCCGCTGGGAAAACACGCACATTGGGTTTTTCTGGGATTCACACCATCAGCAGAAGGGTCAGGTCGAAGGGTCCGTCCATCCTCAATAGCACTAGCATGGCCAAATTACTCTTTAACGTGGTCAGATGGAGTCCCCCCTCCCCATCACCAGTGCACTCCCAGCGACCTCTGCCCATTGTCTCTAGGGCCTGCCTGGGAGCCTCCCTAGGAGTGAGGAGAGGTCTCAGAGTGATTTTTGTTCTCTGAAACCTAGGCCGAGCTTCAAGTTTGGGTTGTCTTGATTCTCCTTCCCTGAATCACCTGTTCCTGCCTGTATTTGTTGACTATTGTGTCCCCAAATTCACGTCCACCTGGAACCTCAGATGGTGACTTTTTAGGGTCTTTGAGATATAATTATTTACATTAAAATGAGGTCACCCTGGAGGAGGGCAGGCCCTCAATCCAGTGACACGTCCTTCTAAGAAGGCCATGTGAAAACAGAGGCAGAGATGCGAATGATGGAGCCATAAGCCAAAGGCCATCAAGGAGTGCGGGAAGCCCCCAGAAGCCGGAAGAGGGGCCTGAGACCAATTCTCCCTTTCAGCCTCCAGCCCTGCCGACACTTTGATCTGGGACTTCTGGCCTCCAGACTGTGAGAGAATACATTTCTGCTTCTTTAAGCCATCAGTTTGTGGTAACTGTTACAGCCGCCCCATGAAACAATGTCATCCGCCCATCTTAATATTTGGTGGGGGTTTTTTCTTCCCTCTGGTGTGTCTTCCTATGTTCTGGAAGCTATTCCTTGATCAGTTCAATGCATGGCAGACATCTTCTCTCAGTCCCTGGCTTGTCTTTTCAATTTCTTTATGGATTTTTTGGGGTGTCCGAAAGTGGGACATTGTGATCGAGTTTAATGTATCCCAAACCCTCCAATTATTCGGGTTTTTTTCCTTGCCAAGGGTGGGTTTTCATGTGCCAGGCAGTTAAAACTGGTGTATGGTTCTCCTCTGCGGTGCTTCCAGCCTGACCTCTCAGCATTCCGGGCTGGGGCCTCCGCCAGCCCCTCCCTTTGCCCCCCATTAATGCTCCGTGGGGGAGGGGGGGCGGACAGCTGAGTGTGAGTCAGCCCGGGGCCAAGCTGCCTGGGGCGGAAGTGGTTAGCTCAGCCCCTGGGACCGGCTGTGTGGGTTCCTGACCGAGGGGGACTATGGACAGAATGAGCGAGGCAGGAAGTGGGTCAGCTGAAGCAGCAGGCTTCGGGGTCCCACGTGTTCGCTGACCGGAATGTTTGGTGGGGGTAACCCCCCCAGAGCCTGCCCTTCCTCCTCCCCGCCCCCCCATGCCGGTTTGCTCTAATGGCTCTTCTAACCTTGGGTTTTTTTCCTTGTCAAGGGTGGGCACCTACTCGGTGCCAGGCCATGGCGGAGCAGGGACGCACAACCCTGCCAGGGGGGTGTGGGTATCAGCTCCTTATCACGGGGGAAACTGAGGCCCAGAGCAGGGCACCCCTGTCTCACCCAACGTCTCAAATCCTTTCCCTTGGCTGGCTAGAGCCCTCCCTGCCCCTCACTGTCCTCACTCTAAACATGGGGCTTTGGAAGAGAAAATATCTAAGGAGTTTCCACATTTTCTCTCTGCCCCTTTTTGAATCTCTCCCTTGCTGTCTCTCTGCATCTCTGCTTTTCAGTCTCTCATAGTCTCTTTCTGTCTTGGCCTCCCCACCTCCCCCATCAGCACCACACAGTGTGGGGAGGCGGGAGAGGTGCCACCCAAGCCTGCCCCTCCCCCTTTCCGGGGGACCTGGACATGTCCTGGCAGGTCTGAGACACTCCTTGTAGAAACTGCTGAATGCCTGGTGGCAAGTTGCCAGTGCAGAAAGGAGGGGGTAGGAAAGTGAAAGAGGGTGTGGGGGAAGGACTTTGGGATTTCCGGTTCAGTACTTCACCCCCCCTTGCCTTTCCCTACCCAGGACTGTCACACTCAACGTGTTGCAAGATGACGTTGGGTTTTGTGGTATGCATAGGAGTTCTCCAGGTATAAATGGGGGCAGGGGGCGTTCCAGGCAGAGGGGCCAGCTTGAGGTCAGTGGTAAAAAGAGAACAGAGGTTCAAATGCCCAGAAGAAGAGTTTGGCTTTCTCCTGTAAGCGAAAGGGAGCCGTGGAGGATATGAGAGGTGCGGAGGGGCCCTCATTAGATACCCAGAATGGGGCGGACTAGAAGGATGAGACTGGTGTCCAAGACCCTCATCTCCAAGTAAGACTGAGAATGTCCAGGCGAGAGCTGAGGGAAACTGTTGAATGGGGCCAAGCGAGGCCTCTCCGAGCCGTACCCTCCCATGAACCTCCCCCCATCTGCCTTGGACTATTCAGCCGCCTGTGCCTCCCTCATTACTACTGGGTCCCCTGCACTATACTCCCAGCCTGGAAACTGCTGGATCCCTGGTGTGTCCCCAGCCCCAGGAACCAATGCACAGTAGGCACTCCATAAGTGACCGAGGTAGCCACAGGCTAAGGCAAGGACGTGAGGCGTGGGCAGGTCGGCCCGAGAAGGAAGCGGGCGTGTCTTCCGCTCCCGGGAGGTTCCAGCGCCGCTCTGCGCCCCCTGCTGGCCTCGGGATGCAACACCGAGCACTCACCCCTTTCCTTCGTCCTCCCGTAGTTTTATTACACACCAGTTACACGCCTGGAGCTGTGCTGGGTGCAAAGGACACTTCCTCTGAGGGAGCGAAGACCCTGTGTCCTCAGGGACTTGGAGGAGGTGCCCCCTCCCCTGGACCCACGTTCGCCAAGACAAGTCCTTTTGGTTTCAAAGATTTATTCTTTGAAAGCCCCTGACCCTTAAAATGTCTTCATTCCTTCTGAGGACATACATAGGGGAGTCACCAAGTCCTGTTTCTGGTTCAAATTACTTAGCTCCAGAGAAGCTGGCCTGGAGCCAGCTTTCCTGCCTCTCCGCCCCCTGGCCATGACACGTGGGACAAGAGGGGGCTTCACCTGGCAGAGCCTCAGTTTCCCCGTCTGTAAAAGGTGGTAATGGCACCCCCCACCACAGAGTTGTGAGTGGGAACTCGGCACGAGCTGGGGTCTAAACGATCGTGATTCAAATCCCAGCGCCACACCCCCTTGCTGTGTGACCACAGGCAAGTGACTCAGTCTCTCTGTGCATCAGAACAAATGCACTGGGTTGTGCGGAGGGAGACCGTTCAGTACAGAAATCTTGTCATTCTTAACTCAGCACATTCATAACAGCCACCACAGGCTGAGCACCAGGTCACAAACCAGGGACAGAAATCCCAGTGAATCAGGGACGCCCCTCTGCCCACTCAGGCCCTCAGGCCGAGGATGACCGAGGTGGACACTAACCCCTCACAAAGACACACAAGAAATCACGTATTTCAACTGTTTTATTTGCTTTCTGGGGTGTCAAGTTTGGGATCTTCCTGAGCCCAGCCCCCAGCAAAGTCACGACAGACCCTTCCCCGGCCTGGGCTCCCAGACAGGAGGGTTTCAGACAAGGCACTCACAGGAACTCTGGGGGTCAGGGAGAGGCCACCCTGAGATGCAGGGGACAGGCCCATCTTGGGGGACAGAAAACACAGTTACCTTAGGTAGGAAAGTTTTTTCCTAAAGAGAGATTTAGGATGAGCTAGAAACCTGAGATGTTAAGGGAGCCCCAGAAACACACCAGGCACCCCCAGGGCAGGCAGAAAGTCAACCCTGCTTCCTTGATCCCTGGGGATGCCACATGCCTAGGGAGCACAGAGTCCAATTCCAAACCGGCTTTCTCTGGGATTTCCTAGAGACAAAGTGTGTCGGCCACAAAAGCCACTCACCCCAGTCCCCCACCTCTGCAAATGGCTCTGGTGACCCTGGGCTGGGCCCTGGGGAGCCAGGGCCACCTCCCAGAGCCTGGGGTTGCTTCTCTCTTTCCCACCTTGTCTCCTTTCTCTGTGCCCCATGCATACTGGGGAGGCAGGCACTTCTGTGGGTCTCAGGGCAGCTGAAAAGGAAGGCCTGGTGAGGAGAGAGATGGGGGCGGGCGGCGGGGGGGATTTGGTGAGGGGACCAGCTCAGGGCTGGAACATACTTTCCCACTGTAAAAACAAGAGATGTTCTCCCTCCTGGCCAGCAGCCCCAGGCCCTTAGGAGGCACTTGTGCCTGGGGAAGGGAAATGTAATCTGGCATATACAAATAAAAGCCCTCTTCGGCTCCCCAAGTCCCGCGGATCCAGTGGGATTCGCGGCCACGGGGAGCCCCCTGGGAATGCGGCGGCCTGCCTCTGCCCGCGGGACCACCAGCGCCCCACACCGGCTGCCCGCGGTCGCGCTCACAGGGTGGAGGCTGGGCCCGCAGAGAAGAATGGGGCTTTGTCCCGCTATCCCCAAAGGGGACTTTTGGGTTTAAACACTCAAGGGGTGGAGAGGTCAAAGGTCAACAGTCTAGACAGTGGCAGCAGGAAAGAGGCCGGGTGCGGTGGGCGGATTTCCAGGAGCAGCTCCCCTCCCTGGCCCAGTCGGCCCCTGGGGCACACAGGCATGTGGGTACACACACACACACCCACACACACACACACACACCAGCTGGCCTGGCTTCCTGGCAGACACTTCTAAGACAACAAAAAGGCATCCTGAATCTCCTTTTCCAGCCATCCCCCTGAGCAGGCCCTTTCTGTTCTAGAAGTCACCGTGCCAGCAAAGAGCAAGGCGGCTGAAAAGGATTTTCCTTGCCGGAAATGATTGCGATCTGACGTTTCCGCAAAAGCCCGGCGCCACTTGGGAAGCCATGATTTCTGCCCCCCCACCTACCCCCGTCTCTCCCCGTGGCCAAGGGACCTTGGCCATTCTTTGATTGGACCAGGCAGGCCAGGTGGCACGAACCCAGTCCACCAACTCAAATTCCTGCTTCTTCCCACCTTTCTTTCCTTCTTACTAACCTCTCCTTCTTATTTCTTTTTCAAGCTACAAGCTCACGTCCATCCCACTGGCCTTGTTTTTGGTGAGCAAGGGGGAGCCGAAGGGGCTGAGAGAAGAAGAAAGGTAGCCTTTCAGTGTGGAGGCTGTAGCATCATAAAGGAGAGGCCAGCACCAGACACCCAGACGACCGGTGCTGCCCCTCTCCCCCACCTCGGCACCCCCACGGGGGCCCCCACTCCAATTTCTTACAAGATTCCCCCAGCAGCCTTCCCACCACATCCCACTGCCCATCCTTCTACCATGAACACCTGCTCACCCCTCCCCCCATTGGCGTCTCTCCCCTCCACACCGCGCCAAGCCACACCTACTTCACAGACCCGTCCCTCGGCCCCGCTCTGTGTGCCCCCCTCCGCCTGAGCCTCTGCACATGACAAGGGAGCAAGAATGGGCCTTGGTTCTCCTTTCTCACAGGAGGACATTTCAGTCTGACACCCAACAAATGCAGACAGACACACCATGGAGAGAACAGATGAGTTTGCCCAAAAGAAAACCATTTTTAAGCTAGAAAATAAAAGTAAAAAAAGCTGGCGGGAAGTGGGTGAAATGTTTAATGGCTGTCTGATTGAATAAAACGCGCAAAATGCTCTGCATCGTGGACAAGGACAGGATTCTGGCTTGACTTGATGAGAAAATCCAAAACCTCTGCAGGAACACAAAAATGACATGCATACACTCAACAATGATCGGACAATAAGTTATACCTCTAAATCTCTGAATCACATGGTGCTTTAAACAGAGAGGCAAAATGAAGACAAAGGAAAGATGAAAATGTGGAGTTTGGGGATGGTGTGTCCGGGTTCCAGTGGGTACCCAGCTAAGCGCAGACCTGGCTCATCTCCAGGTCCCCCCCTTTCCCTCCCCATCTTGCCTGAATTCATTTCCTCCTTCACACCCCTGAAGATCAGACCTTTGGGGATCAGAGCTAGATGAAGCCTAACGTTCTCAATAAGACCTCTGGGGAGACCCCCGAGGCTTGAGCTCCCCACATTCAGAAGAGTCACAATTTCTGCTTACGGAATCCCACACGGCAGATTTCTCAGGAGACGGCAATCTCGGACTGGAGACGTGAGCAGGGCATTTCTGGCAGAAGGCAGGCTGACATGGAGAGAGGGGCAGAGTCCCGATCAGTTGAACCTGCCAGCCACAGGCCACGCCCACTGCCAAGTGCCGGCCCCGAGTCACCCACCTGGAGCCATTTTCCCCTCCGGAGAAAACCCAGGACCCAGAAAATGCATTTAACTCAGAGACCTATCAACCCGGTTCTCAAGCGACACAGCAGCTCAGCAGAGAAGAGAAACTCCCCTGGCCAGCAGAACAAGAGGCAAAGAAGGGGAATGTTTGAGAAAATGAAACAAAACAAAAATCTCATCTGTTTTAGAAAGAACTGCGTGCTGGGTAACACCGACGTGATCCAACCTGGCATCAGACTCCAGTCCACCTCACACTTAGGGAAATGATAAAACCCCCGTCTTCTCCCCCAAGCAGGAGAACACTTCCAAAATGTGTGTTTGCCTCAGCCGGCTTCACAGCTGCTGTCATTCTTTTCCTCTGGCGGGTATCAAGGTCCAGCTGAACCTGGGTGAGGTTACTCTCCTCCGTGGCCGCTAAGTTCAAAGTTGCCAGGGAGTGAGATCAAAATTTACTCCGTCTCCAGAACCATCTACACAAAAGCCCACGGGCTGCTCCAGCACCCCCTGCTCAAACACGTCAGCACACATGGAGATCAGCAAACTCCAGCCCCCGGGCCCCATTCTGGGCACCACCCCCCCAACTTAAGGAGAACAAGAAGCTGGTCCCCAGCACCAAGACTGCAAAAATCCAGGCCAGATGTGGGGTGGGTTTGCAGCTGCTACAGATTTTTACATATTAAAAAAAAAAAAAGTCACGTGCAAGTCAAAATGACAAGGGCTGTTTTCCTACCCCTGCTCCAGAGTCCCCACGGGTACAGCTCACGGCTCTGGTGTCGAAAGGGTCAGCCCACCTTTTTAACCAGCTGGGGCGGCAGCTCCCACCTCCCCAGGGCCTGGCCAAGGGCCCTGCCCGCCCTGAGGAAACGGAACCCGATGTCAGCTCCGACACAAAGATGTGGGTCCCGTTTTCAGAGAAAGAGGCAAGGAGGGGCCGCATCCCAGGAAAAAGAAAAGACACTTTGTCGTCGGTGAAAGCCCGTGTTTTAACCAAAGGGAATATAAATTCCTCTGTGCCCAAACTAGCACTATTGTTTTTGAAAAAGAGAATAAGAAAGAGAAGGGAAAAAAGCCTCCGCCATACCCCAAGGCAGCCCTTTTCAGGGCTGTCCCAGCTGCTGGGACATGGATCAGGGCAAAGACTCTTCAAGGAGTTTTTAAGTTTGGGAAAAACCAGTCATGGACAGAGGGAACACTGGAATCCCTTCACCAGAGACTTAGAAAAGCAGGTGAGCAGGTGGCCCCAGCTGTGGGATCAAGAGCAGAGATCCACTTGACCAGGATTCCCTGTGGAGATCGGGACCCACCAGCTTCCCAGCCATTGTGGCTGTGTCCCCAGATGCAAAGGGAAATCGAGAAAAAAAATCTTCAGCCACCTTCTTCAAAGCGACCAGCCCTTTTGTGGAGAAGAAGGGAGAGGAAGTGTGTACGTTGGAATATTGATCCAAATCCGATCCCCAGCTGACAGGCTTATCCTCCTTGGCCAGGCCCCCGGAGGGCGGACGTCCCTCCTGGGGTCCCTAGTGGGATGAGGTCTTGGGAGGCCCGAGAGGCTCTCAGTGTTTGTGGCGACAGTTGATTTTGCCATCTGACTGCTCCAGGACATCCAGCATCTCCTCGATGATGGCCCGCAGCGCCCTGCCCAGCTGGTCTGCGTTGTAGGGCTTGCCCAGTGGAGGCACGTGAACAAAGGCTGAGCGGCCATGACTCTGGTACAGCGAGGTGTAGTAGGTGAAGTCACAGAGGTACCTAAGTTTCAGGGCATTGGAGGCAGGAGGGGAGACCAAAATGGGGTCAGAGAGTCAATACATAGACTAACAGGACAGCCTCCATCCAGATCTGCTGTAAGACCCCCAACCTCGCCAGAAATCTACAAGATGGAATACTGCTTCTCCCTCCCACCCCCCAGGTTGGCAAAAATGAAAAAAACCTGATAACTCCAAGTGCTGGTGTGTATGTGAGGAAGGAGGCAGTGAGATACGGCTAGCAGGAATGCCAATTGCCCCAGGGAGAATTTGGCAGGCTAGGAATATTACAAATGCCTGGACTTGATGACATGTTCTTTTTTTTTTAAAGATTTTATTTATTTATTTGAGAGAGAGAGAGAATGAGAGACAGAGAGCACGAGAGGGAAGAGGGCAGAAGGGGAAGCAGACCCCCCGCTGAGCAGGGAGCCTGATGTGGGACTCGATCCCGGGACTCCAGGATCATGACCTGAGCCGAAGGCAGTCGCTTAACCAACTGAGCCACCCAGGCGCCCTTGATGACATGTTCTTGCCGGTTTTGAGAATCTGCCTTCAGAAGCCATCTGCATGAGGGCACAAGAAAGATGAAGAAGGTGTTTGCTGCACTGTTAAGTATAAAAGTAGAGTAAGAAGCAACCTGCTAGGGTCTGAATGTCTCTCCTCAAATTCAGTGTTGAAGCCCTAACTCCCAATGTGTTGGTATTAAGAGGTGGGGCCCTTGGGAAGTGAGAGTCCTCACAAAGGGGGTGAATACCCCTTATAAAGGAGACCCCAGAAAACTTTCTTCCTCCTCCTGCCACATGAGGATGCAGCAAGAAGTCAGCAGTCTGCAACCTGGAGGGAGGCCTTCATCAGAACCTGACCAGGCTGGCGCCATGATCTTGAACTTCCCCACCTCCAAAATTGTGAGCAATCACTTTGTGTTGCTTATAAGCTGCCTGGTCAGTGGTATATTGTTACAGCAGAACGAACGGGCTGTGACACAACATGACTGTCCACGGACAGAGGAGTGGCTTCCTAAATGGAAACAGCCACACAATGGAATGAATACTATGCAGCCATTTGCAAGGCATGCAGTGGATCCATTGGGAACCGGAGAATTCACCAAGACCCGTGTTGTGTGCCCGCAGGTGAAATCGAGGAAGAGGGTGCTCAGGAAAAGGCACATTGTGTAACCCCATCCACGTGAGAGCAAAGCTAAATAGGACAAAATCCTAAATCAGCACACCAAGTGCTCTGTAGGCAGCTGACCCTGAACAACATGTATTTGAACTGCAAGGGTACATTCATACAAGGATTGTTTTCACCAAATATAATACAGTATTATAAATATATTTTCTCTTCCTTATAGTTTTCTTCAAGTGTTTATTTTAATTCCAGTTTGTCCCAGTTTTTTTTTTTTTTAAAGATTTTATTTATTTATTTGAGAGAGAGAGAATGAGAGACAGAGAGCACGAGAGGGGGGAGGGTCAGAGGGAGAAACAGACTCCCTGCCGAGCAGGGACCCCGATGCGGGACTCGATCCCGGGACTCCAGGATCATGACCTGAGCCGAAGGCAGTCGCTTAACCAACTGAGCCACCCAGGCGCCCCCAATTTGTTCCAGTTTAATTCCAGTTAGTTCATATATAGTGTTCTATTATTTTTTTAATTATTTATTTGAGAGAGAGAGGGAAAGAGAGCATCAGCAGTGGGGAGAGGGAGAGGGAGAAGCAGGCTTCCCGCCGAGCAGGGAGCCCGATGCGGGGCTCGATCCCAGGACCCCAGGACCATGACCTGAGCCCAAGGCAGAGGCTTAACTGACTGAGCCACCCAGGAGCCCCTACAGTGTTCTATTAGTTTCAGGTGTACAATATAGTGATTCAACACATCCATACATCACCTGCTGCTCAGCATGACAAGTGCCCTCCTTCATCCCCATCACCTATTTCCCCCACCCACCACCTCCCCCTGGTAACCCGCAGTTTGTCCTCTACAGTTAAGAATCTGTCTCTTGGTGGGGCGCCTGGGTGGCTCAGTCGGTTAAGCGTCTGCCTTCGGCTCAGGTCATGATCCCGGGGTCCTGGGATCGAGCCCCTTAGCCAGCTCCCTACTCAGCGGGAAGCCTGCTTCTCCCTCTACCTGCCGCTCCCCCTGCTTGTGCTCTCTCTCTGTCAAACAAATAAAGAATGTTTCTTGTTTTCTCTCTTTTTTCCTTTGCTCATTTGTTCTGTTTCTCAAATTCCACACATGAATGAAATCATAGGGAATTTTCTTTCTCTGACTTATTTCACTTAGCATAACAGTCTCTAGTCCCATTCACGTTGTTGCAAATGGCAAGATTTCATTCTTTTTGATGGCTGAGTAATATTCCTCTCTCTGTGTGTGTACATGTATACGTGTGTGTGTGTGTATCTCACATCTTCTTATTAATTCATCAGCCAATGGATACGTGGGCTGCTTTCATTTCCTTATGATTTTAATGTAAGCTCTACACCCAATGTGGGGCTCAAACCCACAGCCCCAAGATCAAGAGTCACACACTCCACTGACTGAGCTGGCCAGGCGCCCCTCCTTATGATTTTCATAATAACATTTTCTTTTCTCTAGCTGACTTTATTGTAAGAATACAGTATATAATACATATACAAAATGTGTGTTAATCAACTGTTTATGTTATCAGTAAGTTTCTGGTCAACAGTGGGCTATTAAATTTGGGGGGTGGGGAGTCAAATGTTACACAATTTTCAGTTATGCAGGGGGGCGGTCAGCACCCCTACCCTCCATGTTGTTCAAGAGTTAACTGTCTATGGGTAGGTGTAGGAGGTTTTACAATTAAGTCGCAGATTTAACAGAGGGATCGCTAAGGAGAAGGAAAGAAGGCAAGAGAATTTTTCACGATGGGAGCATATGAGAAGATATTCTAGAATTATCTGTGCAATTTAGAATTAGTTTTATTTTTAAAAAATATTTTATTTATTTATTTGACAGAGAGAGAGAGATAGCAAGAGAGAGAGACAGCATGAGCAGGGGGGAGAAGGAGAATCAGACTCCCCACCCAGCAGGGAGCCCGATGTGGGACTCAATCCCAGGACCCCAGGATCATGACCTGAGCCGAAGGCAGATGCTTAACCGACTGAGCCACCTGGGCACCCCTGGAATTAGTTTTAAAAACAGAATGATGGCAAATTTGGTTGTTCCATTCAGTCTACTGAGTCTGTCACCGCCGACTTTGGGCTGGAGAAGTGTACAGAGTACTGAGAAATGGAGACACTGGTGCTGACAAGACATAGAACAGAGAGGACACAGCTTGGTCTAGGGGGTTGCAGAGGCCCCCCAAGGAGGCAACATGCTGGAACTAAGGCCTGAAAGATGCCTTATCCGAGGGAGGTGAGTTCTGAGCAGGGGCCACAGCATGTGCAAAGGCCCTGAGGCTAGAGTGAGTGTGGTGTGTTGGAGCAACCAGAGGAGGCTGGTTGGTGGGGCTGGCATGCAGTAGGGGCAGGAAGAGCGAAGGCAGATGAGGGGCGAGGGGTGGCAGGGACCAGACCACACACCACCTGTGGATGGTGGAGATAGGTTGGGATTTTATTCTAGGTGCAGTGGGAGCTGCAGGAGGGATTAAGCAAGGAAAGGACACCATCTGATTTAAATGTATAAAAGACTTGTAATAGGCTAGAGTTTCTTCCCCAAATTGATGTTTACTCGGAACCTCAAAATGCGACCTTATTTGGATATAGGGGTTTTGCCGATATAATTAGCTAAGATGAAATCATACTGGACTAGGGTGGGTCCTAAATCCAACGACTGGAGTCCTCATAAGAAGGCCATGTGAACACGCACACAGGGAAGAAGGCCATGGGGAGATGGAGGCAGAGATTGGGGTGATGCAGCCACAAGCCAAGGAACCCCAAGGGTTACCAACAGCCACCAAAATCCGGGAGAGAGGCAAGGAACTGATTCTCCCTCAGGGCCTCCAGAAGGAGCGAATGTTGCCAACACCTTGGTTTTGGACTTCTAGCCTCCAGAACTGGACAGCGTGAACTTTTGTTGTCCTAAGCGACCAAGTTGATGGTTTTTGTTATAACAGTCACAGAAAACTAACACAGAAACCCATGGCGTAGAGGGGGAGCACTGTCAGGGCCGGGGCAGAGGGGGCAGGAGGACCACCAGGGAGGTGGCTGGGGCAGCATCCAGGTGGCAGACACCAGGGCCTGGGTGGGGACAAGTGGGCAGACCCATACATCATGAGTCCTGGAAGCAGAATCAGTGGGACCTGTTCCGAGCATATACTTAGCTCCAGGCCTCGTGAATAGTGAGTGCTCAGCCCACAGAGGCCAAAGTCAACACGCTTGGCTTGCCCGCCACTAGCCTGGGCAGGTGGACGAGGGAAGCCACCACTCGTGCACACCCCCAGGTGCCCTACCTGCCGGCATCTTGCGAGATGGTCACCGACACGTCCAAGCCCAGCGTAGTGACCCTTTTACAGACAGCGTCCATGTCGATGATGGAGTCAATGCTTTCCGGGCCGTCCTCCACGCAGCACTGGGAGCCGGGGCAGAAGCGACAGTTGTCCAGCCCCTTGTAGCCCTTGTTATGCCCGCACTTCTCCAGCGTGACTGTGGTCGCCATGCCCGACACCCCCACATGCACCACGAGCTGCAGACAGACGTGCAGGGCTTCAACAGGTTTGCCCATGAGACTGCGGGTTCCTCCCCACCCACCCACCCAGGCCAAGGAGAGGACAGCATCCTCCCCGGTGCTCTGCCCGGGGTCACATCGTTTCTGGCCCTTGCTGCGGGAATAGACCATCCAGTCACCCCACAGAAAGGTCTGCCCAGGAAACATGCCAGGATGTGCAAAATGCTAGGAGGTCCATTGCAGCTGCATTTATGCAAGCAAATTCCAGAAACCACCTCATTAGCCATTAGCAGGGGATTGGCTAAATAAATCGGGAGCTACTACACAGCTGTTAACATGCTAAAAGCAGTTCTTTTTTTTTTAAGATTTTATTTATTTATTTGAAACAGAGAGGGGGAGAGAGAGAGAGAGGGAGAGAGTGAGAGCATGAGTGGGGGGGAGGGGCAGAGGGAGAGGGAGAAACAGACTTCCGCTGAGCAGGGAGCCTGATGTGGGACTCGATCCCAGGACCCTGGAGTCACGACCTGAGCTGAAGGCAGACGCCTAATCGACTGAGTCTCCCAGGCACCCCCCCCCAAAAGCAGTTCTATAAGGGAGGATCTTCAAAACATATTGCCAAATACAAAAGACAAGGTATAACCTCCATGAATCTAACCTATGATCAAAGAGGCAATAATCTGTCAGTGATCACTTCAGTGTTTTTTCTAAAAATGAGGAAAAAAAAAAAAAACATGAAAACACCGGCAGGCTCAATAATAGAACAGTTACATTCATTACTAAAAATTGCCCAGCTGTTAAAACAACGTAAGAGAGATAAGTTATCGAACACTACATCTGAAACTAATGAAGTACTGCAAGTTGGCTAATTGAATTTAAATTTTTAAAAATGAAAAAAAAATAACGTAAGGGAGAATTTTTAATGACTTAGGTAATAAAATTCTCATGATAAAATATTTACAAAAGGCAGGGCACTGCACTGAATACAGTTGAATTTCAACCATTAATTATTTGTGTATATGCTTACACACAGAAAGGGCATTGCAAATGTAAATATTTATATATGTAAACATTTAAAATATGGGCTGAGGAGCATGCTGTCCCATACAAAACGGGGGTGGGGGGGAGCAGGGGGTGCACATGGCTAGTGATCACTTAAAATGTGGCTGGTATGAATTGAGATGTGTAGTCAGTGAGGAACACACATCAGATTTTGGAGGCTGGGCACTCAAAAAAAAAAGAATGTAAAATGTCTCATTAATACCTTTTTTAAGGTTGATTATATGTCGAGATGATAATATTTTATTTTTTTAAGATTTTATTTATTTATTTGAGAGAGAGAGTGAGCAGGAGAGAAAGAGAGAGAGAGAGCACACACAAGTGGGGGAAAGGGTAGAGGGAGAGGGAGAAGCAGGCTCCCCACTGAGGTGGGGCTCGATCCCAGGACCCAGGGATCATGACCTGAGCTGAAGGCAGACGCTTAACCGACTGAGGCACCCAGGATATTTTAGATACACAGGATCACATTGAAAATATTATTAAAATTTATTTCACCCAGGAGCACCTGGTCGTGATCCTGGAGTCCCTGGATCGAGTCCCGCATTGGGCTCCCTGCTCAGCAGGGAGTCTGCTTCTCCCTCTCCCACTCCTCCCTCTTGTGCTCTCTC